ACCGACCAGCATTCTCTTTGGTCTTCCTCTCCTCTTTATTCAGCGTTGAGGATTCCAAGAGATGGCTTGCATTGCGACACAGTCAGGTGTTATTCCGAATCGAATAGATTTATAAACAATAACCTATTAACACACATATATTGGTAATTTCCTGTCTCCATGCTCACACTAGCATCTGACGTGCATTTGTTCAAGGTCCCAGATTGTTAGTCACAGAATGACTGTCAACAGTTATCCGCTAGCCATTCATACAAAGGGAGCTCAAGACCACTGAGAAGTGATCAAAATATGATATTTAGGCATTGCAGTGCTCTCCTACATGACCCGTTATTAAGTTTAAGACTTGAGCAACAGGCTGTAAATCTACATATCTTTATTTAGTCTGAACTAACCAGCAACGTTCCCTATAAATCTTTGTCGAAATCTTCACACATGATTCAACTCAAACTTACTCTATCCAGTGTCCGAGTCAGAGACTTCTTCGACGCTGTTTGGACTACTGGTTTTCTCCTATAGGACTAATATATCAACATTGATTGACCGTTCTTAAGTAACCGCTATCATGTTTCTCTAATCTTGTAGTGATGGTCGAGCCCTATGTGACTACCACTCTCAGTGATCCAATATTATGTTATACTCTGTTCCGTAGTAAACAGCTTTCACCAACAGTAGATTCTTATACACTGCCTATTCTTAAAACGAATGTTCAATCAGGCGTCGGTTTTTCATGTTTTCATTCAGGTTGTTACAAGTGGTTTCATTATTCTAAATTTTAAAAAATATAGGCGGTTAAGCATTAATTCGCAAGAATTTCATACTGTGACAACATTCGTATACTTATATAGTTAAATATACCCATTACGTACTAGTTCTGTTACTATGTCGCTTCGAAAGACCGACATAATTTCATTAAAACGAAGTGCCACAGATCGAATCCATTCTCTTAATCATGTTAAAATTTGATTGTCAATTAATTGAAATAAACATACTGTTCGTATTTTTAAAGGAAATTGAACAGTAAATGATGCATATTCTATTAATGAATTTCTGAATTAAGATCTCACTGTAATTACACATCTTTTGGTTTTTGTTGCCTGCATAGACAAAGTTGATCTCTGATGAGAAACTTCACTTTTGCTGTTCTATACTGAATTACGGAGGAGTTTTATACATTTTCACCGTACATCTTCTAAGACGACCCCGACACCCAGAGAGAAAATGACGGTTAACTCGAACAAAACTCAAATCTTTCAAATCCATTTGGCAAACATAAATGTTATTCTACTGATTCGCTGTAATTACAATCATATCGTTTGGTGAAACTCTCCTTTATCCTTGACAATTTCATTATCTAAAACACCAATTGATTATGTGTATTAGACTACGACTAGACTGTGTGCCGATAGAGGAATTATTATGTGGCTCCACTGGTATTTGATAAATGCATTGTTCAGATTTCAATGTGATTTAGGGTTAAAGCAGGACATGCGTGTCTTTAATTTTGACGTATTTGAACATGAGTAAACATACCGAAATGTTACGAGCTAAGATTAGCTAATCCAAATAAACAAAATGACTTTAGAATGAATTTTTTATCAACGCTTTTCAGCCCTTTGCCTAATTTAAAACCACGCCAAAAACATGAAAGTGACCATCACGAAATTCAGCGGAAATTCCAAAACTATTATGTCAAGAAGTGAGGATGGATAGAAAGTCACTGTAATCCTTGCAAAAGAATGTTTTAATAAACCGTGTAGTATATGGAAGCTAAAACAAGATGAGCAATTGTAAAACACTTCACCACAACCAGAAATGTTTACACAGCTGAAAAAAACACTAAGATAATCTCTGACTTCGAGATATTTTCAAGAAACTCTATTGAGTAGACACAACTGATTGAATTCAACCATATTGAATCTTTTATGACCTTGAATGATTGATCAATCATATCACGGGTTGACAGGAATTTAAAGACATGGCTTGAGACCACTGTGTAAACAGTAACCCATCCATCATGTCATTTAATTGTGTCCCTGATAAGTTAATATGTGAATGTTCTTGAAAAGTCAAACTAGAACACAACATCTGTTTACCGATCAACGGTTTTCTGGGTAATTTCCGGCTGGATATAGTTTGTTATCTCTCATATTTGAACTCACTCTCACGGCTAATTGGATAAAGGAGGTTTAGGAGTCGTGATGCTTGAGATTTGCACTGTTGAATACTATTAGCAAAATGTGCATCAAATGGCAGTATACTACCGCCGCTCATCATGTTTTTCTCTGAAGCAAAAGAAATAGGAACACAGCACTTGGATTCATAAACAGGGGCTTTTTCATGACCATCATTACAGACTTATCGTAGTTAAATAACTATTGAAAATCAGTAAGCACTCGGTATCTGTTCCGTACAGACATGTGACTCCTTAGCAGTGCTCGTTCACTGGTGACCAAACACCAGACATTTGGTCTCATACACAGACGTACATTTATCTCGTAATACAAGTAGAGTGGTTTTAAATTACGGACACTGTTTTCTCTCACTCTATCCAAACCTGTTTATTTGATATATTCCAGTGTTTCAGTCCTAATTCTTAGCTATTCGAGTGAGTTCAAAATCTTTAAGATGATCGGAGTTTTAATGAGTAAAATAATCAAAATTATTGACATTATCGTAACACTATTTGTCAATAAGTTGTTTTATTTAGAACTAGTTCGGATCCTTCTAATTTATGTTTATTGTTTGTCAAATGTGAAGTTACAGAAGTAGTAGAATGTGAAGTGTCTATACACTTTGCTGACATAACTCCACATTTGGTAAGAAGCAGCGTGTCAGTTTAATTCATTTAAACAATCAATAAAGGCAAGTGAAAAGATAAGTCTCGAAAACATTGTTTAGATTTAATATTTTCCGTCAATATTATAATCTTGATTACAGTAACTTTGGGTTATTCATAATTGTTTAGAATGTTTATTGAACAAAATACAAGACTCCATTCTTTGCTCAATAAATGACAGTGAAGTAAAAAACGAGGAAAAAAGTTTAATTATGCCAAGTTGAAAGCTGTCAAAAAATCAAATATAGCGTTCACAACTTTAAATACTCTAGTCTTGTCCGTAATCGCCAGATTTGATAGCTCGAATAACACAGATAGCAAAAACAATACACGACAATTGGAGGATGGCAAATACAAACACCGCTACTAAAACGGCAATAATATACTTTTCAAAGAAGGCGATTACTTTGCATAAACAACCCTGAAATTAAAAAGAATATTATTACGTTTGACTAAAATAGAGATCAAGTTTCAGGAAATAATTGTCCTATTTCTGATGTTAGAGGTCAAAATCTTTTAACGTCGGGTAGGTGGTATCCTGGAAACATGGTCTGTGTTTTCAAAATGACCGAAGATAGTGTGCGATATCCATGGCTGACTCAGAGTGTTGGTCATCAGTTTAAATAATCACCTATGTTTATACCATGCCTCACCCAGAAACAGCGTACTCTAGTAGCAAGCAAGCAAGCAAGCAAGGAAAACATTTGTGATTTGATGTGCTCTTCAGACAAATGCAAACCTCACTGGTCAAGATTATCTATCCACTACTGTGAAAAGTAAAAGCGTGAGTTGAACCACACTAATAACGGTCAAACATATTTGTCGTCGTACTAATAATTGTATCCAGTGTGCAATCATTATTCTTTATTAAATGCTGACTCAAGTAACAATGCCACGTAGTAGGGATGTGATCAGACATGATTCACTTAAAAAGCAGATCTCTACAACTATGATCACTAATGTTACCCCACCACACAAAGTCAGTGTGCAATGCTCATCAAGTTTACGGACGATATTAGGCCCAACGTCTTGACGTATAAATATGAACCATCAGATTTAGATGTGGCTTGAATTGTTTGAATCTTGAAGTGTGATCCTGAAAGTTTAATGAAGTGATTACTCTTAGTACCTGAGTATTAAAAAAATTTCCAAACTGTAAACAAAGCCGAATATCAAAGATTTTTAACGTGTTTTAAAATAATTGGTGATGGTTTTAATATCTACACATTAGTGATAGGTCGAATATCCCAAAAGTTGCGTAGATATTTGCAATCTTCATGTGATTCTGTGTAAATTAGCAGTTACTTTAGGATTAGGTTTATTTGACTGCAATCATCCTAAGGTACTTCCTGAGTCTGAAATCTCGCGGCGTAGGTCAAAAAACCTCCTATCCTATTCGTATCACTGAAGAAAGCAAACAGAAGATCATGTTCACAACTCCAGGAAACAGTATGTCCTGAGTAGTCACGTTGGCTGAAGATAGTAATACTTTAAAATTGACTGTTAATAGGCATTTCGTAAAGTATTTAATCGAGATTCCAAGCTTGTACAAACATTCAAAACAGTTCATCATTGGGATTTGATAGATTAGCTTTCACTCATGCACAAAGATTGTAGTTTTCACTTTTTCGTTGCTCGTTATTATTTCAACACATTTTATAGGTTTAAACACCATGCAAATAGCTAATACAAGAGATGTAATAATACCAATTGGTATAGTAGAGCATCCGATCCCACTCCCACATCACATCTCACGGGTTTTTGAAAAAATACAAAACTTAATAAAATATTTTGACAGCAAAACAAAATTTATTTCAACTTACATCTGAGTATGTAATCTTAGTTTCTGGATTTTTACATGAATCAGGGATGGTTTGCTTAGTCGATATGTAGTCCTTTGGCGATTCAGAGCCGCAACAATGAAACTGAAAAATAAACTACGTTTTGTAATGATGTACCTCTGTTTGTATCTTATCTAAGAGTTTCTTCAAGTCCGGATTCTTGCTATATTCAGAAACGGAGCTTTTAATCAGAGATTGGAATTGAGCTTTTACGTCTTTCCTTAGCACAACTGCCACTACTCCTCCCGCTATTTCGATCAGCACAACGGTTGACAGTAGAGAGGTGTACTTGGTTTTTAAAATTAGTGTATATAGCAACTTACCAAGATTAGACAGAAAGTATTCTTGGTAACCAATCCAAAAAACCCAAGAAATCCAAACACAACTAGGAAGCATCCAAGTGCTATTACAAAGATTACGAGACATTTGATATTTGAATCCACTCCAGTGGAATATTTATTAATAGCAACTTGGGAGAGACTTCCAATTACAACTGCAACAATCCCACATGTCTGTCAGAAAAAACATATTTCATCAAATTTCATCCAACTTACACAAACAAGGACATTAAATACCACTAGAAAAATCTGCAGACACTTGTAGCCACAGCTTAAAGAGGCCATATTCGAAGGATTGCACAGAAACAGCTTATGAAGTTTATATAGACTCAGGGTCGTCTTCGATCCCTTGAATAATAATAACGTAGTATAACAAGAATGTGAGTATTTTGGTGAAAAAGTAGATTAAAAACAAATATTACCGGAAGCACCAACCATATTGAATTATTTCTGAGAGACAGACTCTTTAGTGATAAATAATTCCCCAAAATGAATAGCTCTGTAAGTTTTCGACATTGTATGCTAACCACATTAGTTTTAATGGACTCACCTAGCAGAAGGCGCTCGGTGATGCATCTGCACCAGATCACGAGTCGGAACGCTGTGCTCAACATCTCCTGCAATCCCTAGCTTGATTAGATCAGACGATCCTCGATATATTGATAGTTCATCGAATATTTCTTCGAACCTCCTCGCTTCTGACTTTTGTTTACACATGATGGGTACGATTCATGTTAGAAGGTGTTACTGGTTGAAGCGTTGTCAAACTTGTGATATCTTCGTTGGTGAGCACAACGTAGTCTGGTGCACTTGATTGCAAGCTGTGGGTCCGTTCCTTTTGGGACTCCTGTATATAATCGCTTTGTTTTAATTTTTATATATTGTGATGTTTTTTCCGTGTTTTGGGATATATGTATATATATTTTTACTGCTTCATTGTCGTATTTGATATTTCACCGTGACTGAACAGGTACCCAAGGTACTTATTTTAAAGACTATGTCCTCACCTTCGTTTCAACTAATGCCCTTCTGGCCAGACAACATCGAAGCTTGCTTCTGTTATGCAGAAGCCCGTAACGAAACAGATCAGTTTAGTGAGTAGAGCTGCCTGTTTCTAATGAGTATACTGATTGAAATCAGTCTCATTAAAAACAGGAAAAAATGCCTTTGGTACTGTAGCTGTCATACATTATAAGATAGCTTTAAGTATGTTTGGTGTTTATTTCTAGACTGTACATCTATCACTGACCATATCACTGTCGTTAAACAATTTCCCCAGCAATAACATCGGTAGCAGGATTGCTAAGCATCTGAGCATTTAGTTACCCGCAAAATAGCAGTATACATTCTTAGATGATGGGTGTTCTGTGTCTCAGTTAAATGTAGCTGGCTGTGGATAAATGTTAAGAATCTTTTTGACAACTGGGACTTTTAGTTTATCCGACACTAACTCTGCTTGAATGTCTTCCTGTTAAACTAGACACAGATGCATGGGAATACTTAAATGGGAGCAAAAGAATAAAAGCATTGCGGTACGGCACTAAGCCCATGTGATGCTTTGCACAAGCAATAATAGCTGACCTGATCTAGTATTCATGAACTCAAGGTAAATCACAACTGCATAAATTCTTTGCTAAAAAAACATGTAATTTGGTTATTCATCTATTCCACATTTCTGACTAAATTCATTACTGTTTTTTTCATTTAGAATGCAACAAGAGTGAGCCTCCACAGATCCTGAGAACTGTTTCGCCCCTAGAACTATGGCCCTGGGAAAATTTACGGGAGGCCCAACTAACAGCAGATTATAAAAGATGCTGGACGTCCATTTTAGTCTCACAATCACTTCCAGTACTTTTTGAGTTACTTCTTTTACCCATTCGTTTGGAAAAAAACAACAAAGACTGAAGCTTAACATTACCAATACAACTTTTAAACGAGAACTTCGTTTAAACCTTTGTTTGATATTCGATTCTCAATGGAAATTCCTGAATACATTTATAAATCTAATGCTACTTTGTTTTATCTACTTAATCGGTGCAAGGAAGTTGTGATACACAAGCCTTGCAGCACCTAGTTCATATGTAGTAAATTTAAGTGATTTAGTACATACCTTCGTCCTTTTCTTGGGAAACCTACAAACTCGTGTCCTCTTGTAATTTATTCTAACCACCATGAGTTGTCACGGCAGCTGATGGACACGCGTTATACATCCTAACCATACCTGCGCCTAATCTCATAGCTTCTTGTTCAAGTGCCATACGATAGGCAAGCAATGCCCCTACCCGCACTAATGGAACACTAACAACTCGAAGACACCCTGTGTGGTGTCTTACATTGGTCTGCGCACTTGCTTAGCTCTTTAGTGAGAATATTAATACAGTTCTGCTAAAAATCCCATGAACCCCCTATCTGCATAGAAAAAATAAGTCTGTATTTGCTGCATAGAACGATTTTATTTTTCTGAAGTAAGATATAACAGTTAGAAGTAAAGAAAAATGGCAGTATACGGCAGATGCATGTGGTAAATGCCTTCATAGATTAACTGAAATAGAGAATACGGATATTAGCTTAGCAGGCGTATTTAGAATGACTTGTGTCTATTTTGGACTTACTGCGTGAGAAAGTTATACTGGAACTACGAATAATGCAGGAATCTGGTCTGCCAGGGCGTACGAAGCACTCAAACTGGAAGACAGTTGTCCAAAAATAATTCGAACATGAAGGTGAGAATTTGCAGGTACTTTTCATCGTTAGGGTGAACATATTAGGTAACGGTTGACATCATGACGCAAGAAAAACACAAATTTGCGAGTGGTGAAATATGATCTACAAAAAGGTGAGCTTAATAACAGTTAATTACCTCTTTACTCCCTGATCATGACACTTCGGCTTCCTTTTATGACCAAAACAGCAAACATACACTACACACTGATAGCATATTTTCGGCTTTTCAATGTTAAGCTTGCTTTAACGCATTACGTAATGAGTACAACCCCTCCATTACTGCCATATGCCATATTTTTTATAACAAACCCTCTGCAATAGATTGGTAGCATCTGTGACTTCGTCTATGGTTATCGGAAGTCTGGGTCTTTTCGAAAATAATACTGATATCCCCTACTGCTGGGCACTCAGCATTAGTTTGACTCGTTGGTGGGATAGTGTTGTTTATAATACTGAAGAAAATTAAAAACCGGAGGTTGTTTCCTATCATTTTGTCGATAACATCATAAAGGACAGTTAGGAACGAACATGCGGACAGTTAGTCACAAGCGGCAGCAACAATTATTTTAGCCGAAAAAACGAACTTCGGCTTTGAATATCTAGAAAATAATTCAAAACAAAACGGATTATCATTTTAAAACATAAGACTAGCCAGCTTGGCTGAAGGAATACATTGACTTGAGTAAAAGCAACAAAAAACAATGCTGATTCGAAATAAATTTCACGCCAACATATAGAACATTACACTAACTGAGGCATTTTAGCACACTGAAACATTAAATTACATAGCTACACAAAAGAAACAGCTGAAAAAAGCACAGAACGAAGAAAGCCGACCGCCATTGCTTACAAAGATGGCGGATATAATAATTCTCGCCTCATTCTGATTGGTTGCTAAGCTGAAGGCCACATTTACGAAATTCAGTTGCGTTTAATAGCAGTCTTTTACTAGTGATGTTTCGGAACCCCACGAAACACTTAATCGATCTATCCTTAAACGCGGAAACCTAACCGATCGACAATGGTTGGACCAACTCCTGAATAACATCGACCTACAACATGGTTCTGTGACAGACATGTTGCTAAGAGTGAGAGAGATTATCGGTCAAAGAGCATTCGATGGTGACTTATTCAGACAACACTTCTTATCCAAACTTTCTCAACAGGAACAAGCCGTACTGGTGTCGTTTCAAAACAACGCCGTAGACGAGCTGGCTACACCTGCCGACCGCATCTTAGAAATCACGAAATCTTGTAATGCCGAGGTATTTTCAGTCATAGAAAAACCTCAAACGACCCAGAATGACATGAAAGAGTTATGTCATACATGTACACGTTATCTTGGATTTCGTAACGACCGTAAACGGTCACATACCCCGCGAGGAGGCATTTCACGTAAGCGAACTGCCTCTGGACCACAAGGGACGGATAACCCCGACTGGTGCTGATATCATAACCAGCATGGAAATTCTTCCGGTAACTTCAGAAAACCCTGCAATTTCCCAATCTCAAAATCCACCGACACGAATAACGATTCGGGAAGCTTCCAAGCCGGAACGCGTTGACGGAAACCGTAGCCGGCGAACGTAGCCGTCTGTTGCATGTCATAGATGTGACAATGAGGGTTCGCTACCCCGTCGGCACTGACGCAGAAGTTAGCGTTCTCCCAGCCAATTCCACCGACCGGCTTCACGAATCGGTTTTAAACGTACAGGTGGCAAACAGAGAGCCTATCGCCACATATAGTAAAAGGGACGGCTAACTTAACGTGGGTTTACGCAAGCCCATTCACTGAATCTTTGTTGTTCCAGATGTTTCTATGTCGCTCAAATGCTCCACTTCCTACCGAGTAATCCTATTACAAGCAAGCTAGACAATTCGCTGAAATCGAAGCCTGATCAAGACCCTATAATATCAACAAAAAAGCGGACTCAAATAGCTTCAACGAAAAAGGAAGACAGCCATTTGGACATCAGAATACTATTTTTAGCACTATATTTCATAAGTGCACATAATTCCATACTTTGAGCTTCTTTCTGAACCACATCCATTTGTCAGTTGTTTGTCCACTCATTCCTTGTTCAGACTTATTTTCTTCAACATATCAGAATGCCCTTTCTTGACTAGTGTTTATAAAAAAATAGAATTAGACTGCGTAGTCATACTTTAACCATCCCTTCGTAAACATCGTCTGCTCTGCTTCTCGTCCTTTCTTTTTCTTGCACCCTCTTTCAGCCCTCTTGTGACATGCCACCGAAAACAGATATCGAACGGGTGATTTCGTCCAGCACCATCATCAAAGCCTCAGATATTCCAGATGGATATAAGGTTGAGGTTTCTAGAAGCCCACAACTTCACATGGACCTATTCTCAACCATCAGTTGCACGTTGCAACGCAGCGTTAATAAAGCGCGCCAACTGTGATACTGACAATGCGGTTCTTGCAAAATCCATCTGCATTCATATGTTATAAAATATTACCATGCTGAGTAGTTTACTACGGTGAAAATTGCATCTTCAATATCAAATTTTCACAAAGTGATGCGACAGGAAGATCCGAAAGGTGAAGAGCTTTTATTGAAATACAAAAACTGACCGCAAACTCCAATTTCGGAAGTCACTTGGAAACTGAAATTCGTGATTGGTTTATTTCCGGATTAAACAGATCGAAGTAATAAGAGAATCCTTTCGGAAACTGAGGAGACCTTAAAATAGCATGTGTGAACTATGAGGCAATTAAAGATCCTACAAGTATTAGGACTTTGACAACGACTGCACACGTGACATCTTTGAAATCGAAGCATGCCAATTCAGCCAAGTTAGAAGTTAGGAACGAAGAGGTTTGAAGATATATTTGGAGGGCTATCGGTCTGCCGAGAATAGTGTGGTCTAAGCAGGCTAGTAGTCATAAGGGATGCATATTGCTTCAAAAATGCAATAGCACACTAGTTTCAATAAAGCTAGCATAGTATTTCCCTTATTTGAAAAAAGGTTTTGTTTAATTGGAAAGAATATCAGGTTAACTTCAAAGAAGGGAATGGAGAAAACATGGGAGTAGAAATTAAGGGAACATTAGATAAGTAATTAGTTTATTACGCATGATTGTGAACACTGAACAAGACAAAACGACTATGTATGTATCTCCAACTAAAAAACAATAAGGAGAAAAAGATAACTATAATATATTTCTGCATGAGCATGTACGCGCCATTTTTACGGGCATGCTTCCGAACTTATTAAGTTTATAGTTGTCTTAAAGTGGACTCGTAGAGCGCTTGCCGTAAACCATCACCTTGAGGAGGCGCGTGCGTCAAGTTTGTTCCAGACGTCAGAAGTTCCCTAGCTGCACCCCCAGAGCGAAATTCGGAAGAAAAAAATGAAAGGGAAACAAAAGAGCAGCAAGGGACTTGGAAATGAACGCCAAACGTTGCTTAACATTTTGTAATAGAACAGACAGAGGTATAATAAATTAGATTAAACTCATATTATCTCTCGTTAGAGTGAAATGAAATCAGAGTATCCATATAAGAGAATGTAGTAATAGAGAACAATGATTTGTGATGTTTAACAAGTTGGATTAAGCTCACATGAAGGAAGAGAAGTCAAGGTTGGTACAAGGAGAGCGGTTTATTAGAAGGGAGTGTGCATATAGAGGGTGAAGTGCTAAGAATACTAATAACTATATATTTTATTGTCTAATTTTTTCTTTCTTTTCTTTTTTTATTCACCTGCTACCAGCCACGCAATTCTAGTGTAAAAGTCCGAGTTAGCATTTTATAGGTTGTCTTAGTAGAATAGCTAATCCAGCATAAAGCTGGAAACATGAGTCTGAATGGTGAGCGTAGGAGAACAACCTCAATATCACAGATTGATTGGCTCGTTCCTCAACCATAAAGAGCCTGATACAAACAAAATATTCCGCCCTACAAACACGGGTGGACTGAAGTCATTGCCTTCACCATCAATGCTCGCTGGTCGGTAACTCCATCCCCCCTCCTTTTGTGGTGTTAGGCTCATTTAAGCTTATTTTTTGAATATATATCATACCTCACACAACGCTCTGTGTTTCATATCCTGCTGGAAAACAATATTTCTATAGGTACCATTTTACAAGCTTATCATGCAGTTACAAATTATGGACTGTGGGTAGGGTTTCCATGCAATGCTTTAATTGACTATAGCATAAAGTGTAGTTTGTCAATCAGAGTATAATCATTAAGGAGGGTATAATGTAGGATAGTTGTTTATGAAAGCAGTCGGAAAAGCATGAAAGTATATGAGTTGTAGATAAGTTAACAAGTGGAGAAGTAATATTAATTGCTAGTAAACATAGCGTACAGAACAGTGAAAAGTTAATAAAGATAAACAGGAAGATACACATTAACTTGGTGCTGATAATATTTTGTGTTGTCGTAACCATTTGATGGGTAAAAGGCTCCATAGATGCAAGACCACTGGCAGTAGGCAGTCGATTGTGCGGTCCTCTTGACTTTTTAGGGTGGTAGTGAGTGTCCCTTAGCAACCGAGTTTAGTTGAACAGCATCAATAGGTTCAATGAGCTGCCTGTCTACTTCAAGTGGAGAAATAGGGTGGAAAAAGTAACTAATGCAACTGCAAAGTAGGAAAAATAAGGCAATCTGAACTTGATGTCTATTTTCGTCTAGACATGGAGGGAGCCTATGATTTCCGAGTGGGGTGCAGATGTGTTCGTACGTGCTAGATCAGTACAAGTGAGTGCTTGATCAAGCGGTTTTACAAACGTATGTAATTCATCCGCCATGCGTATGTCGGAGGAAAGACTGTTCCATATTATTGCATACTTGATGAGCAAGAAGTTTTCCCGAGTTTTGATCTGCATTTCTCAACTTTGACGGTAGATACTTAGTTTCGAAGTTCGTATTTATGTACTATATTCCACGTGAATGAGTAAGTTTGAAGATGCCACAGGTATTTGGAGTTTGATAACGCTTCAACCAGTAACACCTTCTAACATGAATCGTACCCATCATGTGTAAACAAAAGTCAGAAGCGAGGAGGTTCGAAGAAATATTCGATGGACTATCAATATATCGAGGATCGTCTGATCTAATCAAGCTAGGGATTGCAGGAGATGTTGAGCACAGCGTTCCGACTCGTGATCTGGTGCAGATGCATCACCGAGCGCCTTCTGCTAGGTGAGTCCATTAAAACTAATGTGGTTAGCATACAATGTCGAAAACTTACAGAGCTATTCATTTTGGGGAATTATTTATCACTAAAGAGTCTGTCTCTCAGAAATAATTCAATATGGTTGGTGCTTCCGGTAATATTTGTTTTTAATCTACTTTTTCACCAAAATACTCACATTCTTGTTATACTACGTTATTATTATTCAAGGGATCGAAGACGACCCTGAGTCTATATAAACTTCATAAGCTGTTTCTGTGCAATCCTTCGAATATGGCCTCTTTAAGCTGTGGCTACAAGTGTCTGCAGATTTTTCTAGTGGTATTTAATGTCCTTGTTTGTGTAAGTTGGATGAAATTTGATGAAATATGTTTTTTCTGACAGACATGTGGGATTGTTGCAGTTGTAATTGGAAGTCTCTCCCAAGTTGCTATTAATAAATATTCCACTGGAGTGGATTCAAATATCAAATGTCTCGTAATCTTTGTAATAGCACTTGGATGCTTCCTAGTTGTGTTTGGATTTCTTGGGTTTTTTGGATTGGTTACCAAGAATACTTTCTGTCTAATCTTGGTAAGTTGCTATATACACTAATTTTAAAAACCAAGTACACCTCTCTACTGTCAACCGTTGTGCTGATCGAAATAGCGGGAGGAGTAGTGGCAGTTGTGCTAAGGAAAGACGTAAAAGCTCAATTCCAATCTCTGATTAAAAGCTCCGTTTCTGAATATAGCAAGAATCCGGACTTGAAGAAACTCTTAGATAAGATACAAACAGAGGTACATCATTACAAAACGTAGTTTATTTTTCAGTTTCATTGTTGCGGCTCTGAATCGCCAAAGGACTACATATCGACTAAGCAAACCATCCCTGATTCATGTAAAAATCCAGAAACTAAGATTACATACTCAGATGTAAGTTGAAATAAATTTTGTTTTGCTGTCAAAATATTTTATTAAGTTTTGTATTTTTTCAAAAACCCGTGAGATGTGATGTGGGAGTGGGATCGGATGCTCTACTATACCAATTGGTATTATTACATCTCTTGTATTAGCTATTTGCATGGTGTTTAAACCTATAAAATGTGTTGAAATAATAACGAGCAACGAAAAAGTGAAAACTACAATCTTTGTGCATGAGTGAAAGCTAATCTATCAAATCCCAATGATGAACTGTTTTGAATGTTTGTACAAGCTTGGAATCTCGATTAAATACTTTACGAAATGCCTATTAACAGTCAATTTTAAAGTATTACTATCTTCAGCCAACGTGACTACTCAGGACATACTGTTTCCTGGAGTTGTGAACATGATCTTCTGTTTGCTTTCTTCAGTGATACGAATAGGATAGGAGGTTTTTTGACCTACGCCGCGAGATTTCAGACTCAGGAAGTACCTTAGGATGATTGCAGTCAAATAAACCTAATCCTAAAGTAACTGCTAATTTACACAGAACCACATGAAGATTGCAAATATCTACGCAACTTTTGGGATATTCGACCTATCACTAATGTGTAGATATTAAAACCATCACCAATTATTTTAAAACACGTTAAAAATCTTTGATATTCGGCTTTGTTTACAGTTTGGAAATTTTTTTAATACTCAGGTACTAAGAGTAATCACTTCATTAAACTTTCAGGATCACACTTCAAGATTCAAACAATTCAAGCCACATCTAAATCTGATGGTTCATATTTATACGTCAAGACGTTGGGCCTAATATCGTCCGTAAACTTGATGAGCATTGCACACTGACTTTGTGTGGTGGGGTAACATTAGTGATCATAGTTGTAGAGATCTGCTTTTTAAGTGAATCATGTCTGATCACATCCCTACTACGTGGCATTGTTACTTGAGTCAGCATTTAATAAAGAATAATGATTGCACACTGGATACAATTATTAGTACGACGACAAATATGTTTGACCGTTATTAGTGTGGTTCAACTCACGCTTTTACTTTTCACAGTAGTGGATAGATAATCTTGACCAGTGAGGTTTGCATTTGTCTGAAGAGCACATCAAATCACAAATGTTTTCCTTGCTTGCTTGCTTGCTTGCTACTAGAGTACGCTGTTTCTGGGTGAGGCATGGTATAAACATAGGTGATTATTTAAACTGATGACCAACACTCTGAGTCAGCCATGGATATCGCACACTATCTCCGGTCATTTTGAAAACACAGACCATGTTTCCAGGATACCACCTACCCGACGTTAAAAGATTTTGACCTCTAACATCAGAAATAGGACAATTATTTCCTGAAACTTGATCTCTATTTTAGTCAAACGTAATAATATTCTTTTTAATTTCAGGGTTGTTTATGCAAAGTAATCGCCTTCTTTGAAAAGTATATTATTGCCGTTTTAGTAGCGGTGTTTGTATTTGCCATCCTCCAATTGTCGTGTATTGTTTTTGCTATCTGTGTTATTCGAGCTATCAAATCTGGCGATTACGGACAAGACTAGAGTATTTAAAGTTGTGAACGCTATATTTGATTTTTTGACAGCTTTCAACTTGGCATAATTAAACTTTTTTCCTCGTTTTTTACTTCACTGTCATTTATTGAGCAAAGAATGGAGTCTTGTATTTTGTTCAATAAACATTCTAAACAATTATGAATAACCCAAAGTTACTGTAATCAAGATTATAATATTGACGGAAAATATTAAATCTAAACAATGTTTTCGAGACTTATCTTTTCACTTGCCTTTATTGATTGTTTAAATGAATTAAACTGACACGCTGCTTCTTACCAAATGTGGAGTTATGTCAGCAAAGTGTATAGACACTTCACATTCTACTACTTCTGTAACTTCACATTTGACAAACAATAAACATAAATTAGAAGGATCCGAACTAGTTCTAAATAAAACAACTTATTGACAAATAGTGTTACGATAATGTCAATAATTTTGATTATTTTACTCATTAAAACTCCGATCATCTTAAAGATTTTGAACTCACTCGAATAGCTAAGAATTAGGACTGAAACACTGGAATATATCAAATAAACAGGTTTGGATAGAGTGAGAGAAAACAGTGTCCGTAATTTAAAACCACTCTACTTGTATTACGAGATAAATGTACGTCTGTGTATGAGACCAAATGTCTGGTGTTTGGTCACCAGTGAACGAGCACTGCTAAGGAGTCACATGTCTGTACGGAACAGATACCGAGTGCTTACTGATTTTCAATAGTTATTTAACTACGATAAGTCTGTAATGATGGTCATGAAAAAGCCCCTGTTTATGAATCCAAGTGCTGTGTTCCTATTCCTCAGCTTCAGAGAAAAACATGATGAGCGGCGGTAGTATACTGCCATTTGATGCACATTTTGCTAATAGTATTCAACAGTGCAAATCTCAAGCATCACGACTCCTAAACCTCCTTTATCCAATTAGCCGTGAGAGTGAGTTCAAATATGAGAGATAACAAACTATATCCAGCCGGAAATTACCCAGAAAACCGTTGATCGGTAAACAGATGTTGTGTTCTAGTTTGACTTTTCAAGAACATTCACATATTAACTTATCAGGGACACAATTAAATGACATGATGGATGGGTTACTGTTTACACAGTGGTCTCAAGCCATGTCTTTAAATTCCTGTCAACCCGTGATATGATTGATCAATCATTCAAGGTCATAAAAGATTCAATATGGTTGAATTCAATCAGTTGTGTCTACTCAATAGAGTTTCTTGAAAATATCTCGAAGTCAGAGATTATCTTAGTGTTTTTTTCAGCTGTGTAAACATTTCTGGTTGTGGTGAAGTGTTTTACAATTGCTCATCTTGTTTTAGCTTCCATATACTACACGGTTTATTAAAACATTCTTTTGCAAGGATTACAGTGACTTTCTATCCATCCTCACTTCTTGACATAATAGTTTTGGAATTTCCGCTGAATTTCGTGATGGTCACTTTCATGTTTTTGGCGTGGTTTTAAATTAGGCAAAGGGCTGAAAAGCGTTGATAAAAAATTCATTCTAAAGTCATTTTGTTTATTTGGATTAGCTAATCTTAGCTCGTAACATTTCGGTATGTTTACTCATGTTCAAATACGTCAAAATTAAAGACACGCATGTCCTGCTTTAACCCTAAATCACATTGAAATCTGAACAATGCATTTATCAAATACCAGTGGAGCCACATAATAATTCCTCTATCGGCACACAGTCTAGTCGTGGTCTAATACACATAATCAATTGGTGTTTTAGATAATGAAATTGTCAAGGATAAAGGAGAGTTTCACCAAACGATATGATTGTAATTACAGCGAATCAGTAGAATAACATTTATGTTTGCCAAATGGATTTGAAAGATTTGAGTTTTGTTCGAGTTAACCGTCATTTTCTCTCTGGGTGTCGGGGTCGTCTTAGAAGATGTACGGTGAAAATGTATAAAACTCCTCCGTAATTCAGTATAGAACAGCAAAAGTGAAGTTTCTCATCAGAGATCAACTTTGTCTATGCAGGCAACAAAAACCAAAAGATGTGTAATTACAGTGAGATCTTAATTCAGAAATTCATTAATAGAATATGCATCATTTACTGTTCAATTTCCTTTAAAAATACGAACAGTATGTTTATTTCAATTAATTGACAATCAAATTTTAACATGATTAAGAGAATGGATTCGATCTGTGGCACTTCGTTTTAATGAAATTATGTCGGTCTTTCGAAGCGACATAGTAACAGAACTAGTACGTAATGGGTATATTTAACTATATAAGTATACGAATGTTGTCACAGTATGAAATTCTTGCGAATTAATGCTTAACCGCCTATATTTTTTAAAATTTAGAATAATGAAACCACTTGTAACAACCTGAATGAAAACATGAAAAACCGACGCCTGATTGAACATTCGTTTTAAGAATAGGCAGTGTATAAGAATCTACTGTTGGTGAAAGCTGTTTACTACGGAACAGAGTATAACATAATATTGGATCACTGAGAGTGGTAGTCACATAGGGCTCGACCATCACTACAAGATTAGAGAAACATGATAGCGGTTACTTAAGAACGGTCAATCAATGTTGATATCTTAGTCCTATAGGAGAAAACCAGTAGTCCAAACAGCGTCGAAGAAGTCTCTGACTCGGACACTGGATAGAGTAAGTTTGAGTTGAATCATGTGTGAAGATTTCGACAAAGATTTATAGGGAACGTTGCTGGTTAGTTCAGACTAAATAAAGATATGTAGATTTACAGCCTGTTGCTCAAGTCTTAAACTTAATAACGGGTCATGTAGGAGAGCACTGCAATGCCTAAATATCATATTTTGATCATTTCTCAGTGGTCTTGAGCTCCCTTTGTATGAATGGCTAGCGGATAACTGTTGACAGTCATTCTGTGACTAACAATCTGGAACCTGGAACAAATGCACGTCAGATGCTAGTGTGAGCATGGAGACAGGAAATTACCAATATATGTGTGTTAATAGGTTATTGTTTATAAATCTATTCGATTCGGAATAACATCTGACTGTGTCGCAATGCAAGCCATCTCTTGGAATCCTCAACGCTGAATAAAGAGAAGAGGAAGACCAAAGAGAATGCTGGTCGGTGGACTATGCTCCATCTGGAGTAACAGGCGTAAGTAAGTAAGTGAGTAATCTCATAATCTTTTCCTTGAATTTGATTTATTCATTCAAATATATAACTATAGAAAATGAAGAAAATTTCTTGAAATGAATATTCTTCATTCATAAGATCAACATTTCAACCATAGTGAAATATACTACGATAAACATTGAAATACTGTTCATCATTAATAATGAGATGATAATAGATTATTATGAATAATTCTAATTATATCATAGTTCATCTCATTATATACTAATTACATCGTAAAAATACATTAAAGAAGAAATAATAATAAAATGGAATTACATAATGATGATATTAGATTATTTGAAGGTGTAAGTGAAATATTTAGTTTATAATGAGTGTGAATGAACTTGAACAAAGTTTTCTTTCTGTTTTCTTTCTTTCTTTTTGTTGTGGTTATTGTTATTTTTAGTCTTTTGAAATTTTTCCGTTTAAATATTTTATAGACAATAAGATAAATCGGTAATTATTGACACAGAATTCTTTGACATGGATCCAATTAGTGATTAGATAAATTCTATATTGTATCCATTCTACACATTCCACAATATATCAAGGTTACTAATCTATGAAAGAAATCAATGATGAGCATAAATCAAATATATAAGTATAAAATTATTATGGAAGTTAATAAGAATAAAGTAAAGTATGATTTGACATTTCATATTATATGGTTGACCATAAAGTAAAGAAAAAGAACAGAAAAGACACAGTGAATTGGATGAAATCAACTTGAGGAATTATTGCATATATCTACCATTGTATATCAGAATGTGTAAGAAACAATCAGTAGAATGTCAGTACAAATGGTTGAAGAGATTTTTAATTGTGTCTAATTCATTAAATTTGGTAAGTGTTTTGTTGTCATAAACATCATGCATAGTGTCTAATTATTGTTTATTTATTTCAATGGTTGACATCATGAGTCAGTTGAAGCTAGGCCACCATGGAACACCTGGAAGTATTGGAAGGCCGTTTCGTCCTACTTTGGAACTCCTCAGCAGTGCGCTTCCACGATCGATGTTCGAAACCAGGACCTATCAGTCTCGTACGCGAGTGCTTAACCATAAGACCAATGAGACGCCCGGCATCCAACGGTGTTAGTGTCTAACTTCAACTAATCCACGACATTGAGCGACACATCTACCATTGTCATCAGTGAGTAACTATCTCAGAACAGACCTGATTGAACCCCACTGGTCAGTGCTTCTCACTAGAACTTTATTACTTTGATTACTGCTTATTTCGCTAATGCAATGAGAAGACAAAGTTTATCAGAATTATGTGATGATCTATTTGTGCAATACACTTCGAACACTCTGATCACACGTGGTCAAATAAGATCACAGGGTCGATAGACATTATCCTTCATTGCGAAACAATTGATTGAGACTGGTCATAAGGATAACATCAAATCATCTTTTGTAGTGTTGTAAGAAAGCCTGCAATGACGTATACTAGGGTTCATTGAAGCCTTCACTACACGGAAACTGAAACCCTCTTTATGCATTCGAAGACAATGTGTCCTTAACACTTAACACCTCCCCTGGTAATACTGATTTATTATCCAATGTGGTAATCACATTGTTTTGGTTTACCTTAATATATTTTTTCGTTATTACGGCTTGCCTTTAACCTGTCTAGTTGACCTTTTAATTTTCACATGAAAATGTCTTAACAGGTACATTATGTGTGATCAGTGTTTTTCGAAATGTCTCACATCTTCTCATTGTATGATCGAAGTTTATCAAAGGGACTA